GCATAGCATGTGGCCTCTTAGTTCCTCGACCAGAGATTGCACCCTGTGCACCCGGCATTGGGAGCTCGGAGTCTTAATCATTGGACCACCAGCAAAGTCCCCAAACTGTGTTAATATTTTAGACTTTGTAGGCTATACAGTCTCCACTATACAATTACTCAACGCTATCACTATAGCATCAAAGAAGCCATAGGCAATGTGTGTAATAAACAAGTGTGACAATTTCCAATAATATTTATGATAATAGATAGTGGGAAAGATCTGGCTTGCAGGCTGCAGTTTGCTGATCCCTGCTCTTAATAATTACACTATTCTGTTATTTTTTCCTTTGGTCTTCAAAGTTTTCAGTTTCACAAATATTTATAGCATTGAATCTAGGCACAAGGCTTTGAACTTGATCCTGAACAGGATAAGGAAAATAAAGTCCCTGCCTTGAGGAATCTCAGATTCAAAGGACAGTACATAAGCACATGTGTAGTACAAGGGGAATTCTCCAAAGTTAGCGCCAAAGAGAGGTATGGACTGACTTGAGCATCCACTGAACATTATGTTTTGGAGGAGGAGCTGATATATGGCATACGCTTTCTTTCTTTTAAAAAAAAAAAAAATTTGTTTCGCAGCGTCTTGGTTGCAGCATGTGAGATCTTCAGTTCTGGTATGCGGGATCTTTAGTTGCAGGGTGCGAACACTTGGCTGTGGCATGTGGGATGGAGTTTCCTGACCAGGGATCAAATCTGCATTCCCTGCAGGGGAAAGTACATTCTCAACCACTGCACCACCAGGGAAGTCTCTTCCCTTCATTTCTTTTTCCTTTCTTTTTATTTATTTTCATTTCTTGATTATTGAACCATGGCAGATCCAGTTCTTCTGCAGCAGGTTCAAGACACGAACATACTACAAATTTTCATCTAAAGTTTAATTCATGTACATCTACATGGTGGCATGTTTATCACCATAAGGCATAATTATAAAACATTTTTAAAATGCTAAAAAAAAATGCTATTTAGCCCAAGTGAAATAATAACTTAGTTCTGTCAGTTCATCGAAGGTTGAAATCCTCTAGCCAATTCTAGGCAGTCAATAACACTCCATGGTTTGACCAGTTTCATATCCTTTTGTTTCTCATACTCACCTATACTTCTAGCCTGTCCTGTTATTGCTTCTGTTTTTGTTCTCATGTCCTTTAATGATGTTTTTCTTCCTATCTTCCACCTTTTCTCTTTCTTGTACTGTTTGGATTGTTGACCCTCTTCTGGAGGCATGTGATTTTCTTTCTTCTTTTGGAAAATATATTTTAAAATATTTTGTTCATTAATTTAGCTGATGTTTATTGAGCAATTACCACATAATTGATCCTTTTCTAGAGGCTGGAGAGATAAAGGTAAAAAAAGACCAAAATCTCTGTCCTTGTGTAGCTTAAACGTTTTGGCAGTAAACAAAATGGTAACAATAATTAAATAGACAAGTAAAGGATGTGATATGGGAAGCATTAAGGGCTATTAAGAAAAATTCCCGAGGATCAGGAATTTGGATGGTGTGCTACAATTTTAAAGACTGACAAAGGAAACTCATTAAGAGATCTTTGGAGCAGATGAAGGAAATAAACCATACAAGTATGTGCTAGATAAGCATTGAAGGTGTTTCATGCAACAGGAATAGCATGTGCAAAATGCTGAGGCAGGAGCATACTTCCCCAGGTGGAGGACAAGGAGGGCAGGGTAGCTGAAGCTCAGTGGAGGATGAAGAGACTAGTAGATGTGATCAGAATCGTGAGGGAGGCAGTGTATTTAGGGACACTTCCGCTGGAAGAACTTTGACTCTTGCTCTGAGTGAGATGGAAATCCTTTGGATGGTTTTGAGCAAAATGAAATGTTGACTCATATTTTTAAAGGACTTATAGGGAGACAAGAGAAGAAGCAAAGAGAGCAGTCAGGTTCATACTGCAACGTTCCAGGCCAATGAATTTGAATGTTATGGGACATGTTTTCTAGAAGAATCAGAGTAGTTGCTTTTGTTTTACAATTGAGGATGGCAAGCTAAGGGGTAAGATCTTGATTGGTGCCAATACATTTTACTATTCCCTGTTCCTCGGGGAAAAATTAGGAGATCCTGCCCTGCTAGTTTAAGGACTGTTAAACATTTTTGATGGTCTTGAGCATCTCTAGGCGATATAATGCCTGGCACAAAGTAGGTATGTAGAAATATTTGTGGAATTCATGAATATGTCGTCAGTTAAATGGGATAGGGCTGAATTACAGTCACAGCTGACTTGCTTGTTCATGTTTCATTTCTCCTGCATATTCTGGTGGTATTTATCAGGTCTTTAAATTTTATCTAGTAAAGAACATCAAAAATATGTTATAAACATACCCCTACACTTCAAGTCGAAATGTAGAGAGTATTATTTATATATTCTAATTGGCCTCACAGCAATTTGTCCAGTCCTCTGTTATAGCAGTAATCAAGTGTATTCAATTTTGTTTGCCTCTCTCTCTGAATAGTCTGTGAGTTCCTTCAGGGTGGGATCATCTCTTATAGATCTTTACACAGTTGGCCCTCTGTCTCCACAGGTTGCAGCATCTGTGGATATGGAGGGCTGACTATAGGACTTGAGCATCCGAGGTTTTTGGTGTCTGCAGGGGTCAGCGGGTGTCCTGGAACCAATGCCATGCAGATACTGTGAGATCACAGCTCATCCTGTACCTATCATGAGGTCTGGCAATAATGTCTGTTCAAAGAATATACACATGATATGATCAAGTGCAGTGAAAAGAAAAGAGTGAGTCACCACCACCCCCAGAGAAGCCTTGTCTGGTTCCTGTAAAATATACTTTGCTGTTTTCAGTCACTGAGTCGTGTCTGACTTTTTGCAACCCCATGGACTGTAGCACGTCAGGCTTCCCTGCCCTTCACTATCTCCCAGAGTTTGCTCAAACTCATATCCTTTGAGTTGATGTCATCCAACCATCTCACCTCACTTCCTTTAGAAAAACACAATTCTTAGCCTAACTGTGTAGAATTTAGCTCCTTGAATTCTAATTGTATATAAAGCCCTTAATGAACTGGAACAGAGTCCCTGGTGGCCCAGTGGTAAAGAATCCACCTTCAGTGCAGGAGATGTGGGTTCTATGCCTGGGTCGGGAAGATCTCCTGGAGAAGGGAATGTCAACCCACTCCAGTATTCTTGCCTGGGAGATCCCACAGACAGAGAGGCCTGGTGGGCTACAGTCCATGGGGGTCGCAAAGACTAAACTTAGGGACTAAACCACCACCAATGAGCTGAAACAACCGTAGTCTCACTCCAAGCAGGCCTGGTAAATGATGTCATTGTCAGTGTGTGTTTGTCGCTCAGTTATGTTGGACTTTTTGCGCTCCCATGGGCTGCGACCCACTGGGCTCCTCTGTCCATGGAATTCTCCAAGCAAGAATATGGGAGTGGGTAGCCTTTGCCTTCTCCAGGGGATCTTCCCAACACAGGGATCGAATCCGGTCTCCTGCATTGCAGGCAGATTCTTTACCATCTGAGCCACTGCCAGTAAGTGATCACTAAGAGATGCAGATGACACCACCCTTATGGCAGAAAGTGAAGAACTGAAGAGTCTCTCGATCAAAGTGAAAGAGGAGAGTGAAAAAGCTGGCTTAAAGCTCAACATTCAGAAAACTAAGATCGTGGCATCCAGTCCCATCACTTCATGGCAAATAGATGGGGAAAACAGTGGAAACAGTGACTGGCTGTGTTTTTCTGGGCTCCAAAATCACTGCAGATGGTGATTGCAGCCACGAAATTAAAAGACGCTTACTCCTTGGAAGGAAAGTTATGACCAACCTAGACAGCATATTAAAAAGCAGAGACATTACTTTGCCAACAAAGGTCCGTCTAGTCAAGGTTATGGTTTTTCCAGTGGTCATGTATGGATGTGAGAGTGGGACTATAAAGAAAGCTGAGCGCTGAAGAATGGATGCTTTTGAACTGTGGTGTTGGAGAAGACTCTTGAGAGTCCCTTGGACTGCAAGGAGATCCAACCAGTCCATCCTAAAGGAGATCAGTCCTGGGTGTTCATTGGAAGCACTGATGTTAAGCTGAAACTCCAATATTTTGGCCACCTGATGCGAAGAGCTGATTCACTGGAAAAGGCCCTGATGCTGGGAAAGATTGAGGGAAGGAGAAGGGGACGACAAAGGATGAGATGGTTAGATGGCATTACTGACTCCATGGACACAAGTTCGAGTAAACTCTGGGAGTTGGCGCTGGACAGGGAAGCCTGGCGTGCTGCAGTCCATGGGGTCGCAAACAGTTGGACACGACTTAGCGACTGAACTGACTGAAGAACTGAGAACTGAGCTTCCAGGGACTGAGACTTGCAAGATGGACCCAGACTGCTCCAGCTCCCAGGGGGTCGGTGTGAGTCCTGATCAACCCTCCCGACCGCAGGATCGAGGTTTTCAGCCTTCTCCTCCAGGGGAACCTCTGCAGGCCTCCCCAGCCTTCCTCATATCCTCTCCTGCGGAGACCCCAGTCTGCCCGCATCTCCCCCTCAGGGTGTCCTCGTCCCCCACACCCGCTCCCATGGAGACCCCCTCTGCCCCCATTTCCCCGCTCAGGGTGTCCCCGCCCCGGGCCCGGGCCCGCCCCGCACCCCTCCGACTTCTCCTCGGGAACCCTCCGCCCTCCTGACGTCCCCACCCCCTCAAACACAACTTCCGCTTGCGCCCCCTCCCCACAGGGCGAACTTCCGGTCGGCGCCCCCCTCCCCGCAGGCGGGACTTCCGCCCGCGCCCCCCTCCCCTCGCCGCGCCGTCGCGTCCTCCGGCCTGAGGCGAGCCTTGGGCGCGTGCTCTCGCGCTTTCCGGGCCGGGCCTGCGGGCTGCAGCGGCGCCGAGGCGGCGGCGGCGGCGTACGGAGGCAGCAGCCCGCGCTCCACCCCATCCCGCGGGCTCTCCTGCCCCTCCTCCTCCGGCTTCTCGTCGTCGGCCGCTCGGCCCGAGCTGCGAGCGGCAAGATGGCGGCGCCCAGGCCGCCGCCCGGCAGGCTGTCGGGCGTCATGGTGCCCGCGCCCATCCAGGACCTGGAGGCTCTCCGCGCGCTGACGGCGCTCTTCAAAGAGCAGCGGAATCGGTAACCGCGCGGGCGTCAGGGGCGGCCCGGCGGGGCTGGCGGGAGCGGGGCGGGGGCGCCCCTCCTCCCGGGGCGGCGGCGGGGTGGCAGCTTTGCGCCTCACCAGAGGGCCTCGGGCTGGGGGGCGGGGGTGACACCTGCTTCCCACTCGTCAGAACTGGCGTGAGGCCGGGCACAGGAAGGGGGACCGATCCAAGCGAGCCCTTCGCCGCCTCCTGCCTGTTGGGTTAGTTGAGCTGAGCCGCGGTGATGGCGCCCGGGTAACATGCAAGGTGGTCTCCTCGGCCTGGTTGGAACAGACTGGCAAGCCCCCAGAGGCAGTAGAACGTGCAGGAGGGGGAGACAGACGTTGCAGATGTGCAAGGTGGGAGGCCGCGTCACTCCGTTCGTCCTGTGAGCCCAGGCTTTGCATCCCCAGTGGTGGCCCCGCTTTGCACCGTGGCCACTTGATTCCCGACTCTGCCACAGAAGGGCCAGATCTCCGTTGTATAACGTGCCCAGGAGTCTGAAGATCTGGATTTGGCTCCTAGCCCTACAAGCGGTGCGTTATGGTGCCCTTTCTCCAAGCCTTAAGATTTCCTGCCTAAAAATGGGAATGTAATACACGACTTCATTGCTAAATTGTACAGAGGAATAAATGAAATAAAGCACGTGAAAATACAAAGTACTTGATATCTCCAGTCAGTGCCTGTTTAATTTTGTTCTAGTCTTCTCTGGGCCTCAGTTTGTGTGTCTGTTTAATAGGAATGAGGTTGGACAGTACTTGCCTGGTGAGGTTGTTTGTCAAGATTAAGTGAACTCATGCATACTTGGAACATAGCTGACACATAGTATTAAATCAAGTTAGCTGATACTGTCCCTTCACACATTGATGGATGGTTCTCCGTAAGTGTGTTGTTAGGAAGCCCTGTTCTGGAATCGCAGAAGTATGTGCAAAGAGGAGAGGGAGTGTGGGAGAAGGCCAGATGGTCTTAGAGTTTCAGTCGGTCTGAGCACTTCTGCCCCAAATCACAGTGAGTGTCGAGCAATTCAAAGAGTGTCAAGAGCCCTGGGCACTGCTCCTGCCTTTTTGGGAGATAAGTTAATTGATGTGATACCTCAGATTTGTTGATTGTGTTAATGCTTAGGATATCTATACTATGATGGGCTCTTCTTTTAGTCAACCAGTCATCAGCCTTCACTGGGGACCTGCTCTGAAGCAGGTTCTTTGCTAGGGCCGAAGGTGCAAAGATGAAGCAGGTTAGGGTAATTGCCATGTAAACAAATTGTAAGAGGGTCTAGCCAAGAAGAGATGGTGGAGCTGGGGGAACTGTGGATTTGGTGGAGAGATTTGTGGCCTGGGAAAGGCCTTAGGTTACTATGGCTTCTAGGCTTACAGATGAGAGGGCTAATTAGTAAGAACGGCATGTGCAGAGGAACAGTGTGCTGATTTTGCATGGTCTCTGAGTTTAAATGAAATAACATAGATAAAGCATCTGGTACAGAGGACATAGTCAAATATCAAGTTCCTTTTTATAAGCTGAAGGATAAAATCCAAGGGCCTGAGCCAGTTTACAAGAGCCAGTTTACAAGGCCTTTCTTGACTCTCCTTCTTGTGAGGGGAGTTTATGGGGAACCATGCTAGGAGATCAAACCGGTCAACCCTAAAGGAAATCAGTCCTGAGTATTCATTGGAAGGACTGATGCTGAAGCTCCAGTACTTTGGCCACCTGATGAGAAGAGCTGACTTACTGGAAAAGACCCTGGTGCTGGGAAAGATTGAAGGCAGGAGGAGAAAGGGGCAGCAGGCGGTGAGATAGCGTCATCGACTCACTGGATATGAATTTGAGCACACTGCAGAGAGAGTGGAGGACAGAGGAACCTGGCGTGCTGCAGTCCATGGGGTCCTAAGGAGACAACTTAGCAACTGAACAGAACAACAGTGGGAGGTTCTTTTAAGGGCATGGCCTGGCAAATCTGTATATTAAACAAATCTCTTGCTGCCATTGTGAGAGATACATTAGGGTGAGGCTAGAGGCAGATGACTTGATGGAGAAGCCCAAGAGAAAGAGAAAAGTGCCTGAATTTAGGGTATTGTCTATGGGGATGGGTAGGATAGATATTGAAACATCTTTACCAGATTGAATGGACAAGACTTAGGGACTGGTTGGATTGCTGGGGAAGAATGAGAAGAGGTGAAGGTGCATCCCATATTTGATTTGAGTTTTTCCTGGGGCTAGTGGGAACTCTGTTCTAGTTGAGGAAGAGTTGAAGGCCAGGAAAGGTGACCTGATGTGTAGGTCTTGGAATCAGGAGGCAGATAGTATGTGGTGGTACAGAGAGCGCTTGATGAGGGTTTGTGAGGACAGGCTTCTGGTTCTGCCTCTGCTTCTCAGCATGTCTTTGACCAAATCACTAGTTGCCCCTCAGAAGGGTCTCAGGGTTTTCAGAGGCCAGCTGCTTTGCGAAGATCCATCCAATGCTGATGGACCCAGAGGGAGGATGGGCAGAAGAGGTGTCAGAGGCTGCATGGGACATAAAGTGAAGCAGAATGAGGCATCACAGTAGCAAACTGAAAAACACAAGATACAGCAGAATCATACTGAGGAAAGTAAGAAGGAATTTGACCTTTCCCCTTGAGCGTGGGCTGCATTTAGTGACTGGCTTTTAAATAATAGATGTGGGGGAAGTGACAGGGTGTGACTTCTGAGCACAGAAGGCCCTGAAGCTTCCTCATTGCTTTCTCTCTTGGATCGCTCGCTCCCAGAAAGCCATCTGCCATGTTATGAGGGCACTCAGGGGTCCACCTAGACAGGTCTGAGTGGTGAGGAATTGAGGCCTCCGGCCGGCAGCCATGTGAGGACCATCCTGGAAGCAGATCCTCAGTCCCAGCCAAGCCCACAGCTGTTTGTGCAAGTTGATGAGGGCCTCTGACCTGTATGAGACCATGGATTGCTTAGTTTGGGGCTCATTTATTATGTAGCAATGTGCTTAGTCGTTCATTTGTGTCCGACTGTGACCCCATGGACTGTAGCCCTGCCAGGCTCCTCTGTCCATGGGGATTCTCCAGCCAAGAACACTGGAGTGGGTTGCCATTATTTTCTCCAGGGGATTTTCCCAAACCGGAGATTGAACCCAGGCCTCCTGCATTGCAGGTGGATTCTTTGCTGTCTGAGCCACCAGGAAGCTCCCCTGTATTCAGTGTAAAGCCAGGTGATAACTCTACCTCCACTGTCCATGCAGCTGCTCACATGCGGCTATTGAAATTAATCAGCAGTAAGTAAAATTAGTCATTCCATTCCTTGTCCCAGCCACATTTTCAGTACTAGTAGCCACACGTGGCTAATGGTACCTTCTCGGACCAGGCAGATACAGATTATTCCCATCATCACAGAAAGTTCTGTTGAGTAATGCTACTGTGTTTTTTTTCTATAGGATTCTTGAGTATTCTTGAACTAGTTTAACGTTTGGGTACTGCTTTCCATAAATCTTCTCATGCTTAAACTGATACATTATTGTTTTTCCATCTGAAAAGCTTGTTGAGTAAAGTGAGCGTATCACGTTCCTTGGGTCCCTAGCATCTAGCATACAGTCTGATAATTGTAGGTTCTTAACAAAGGCTTGTGGAATTACTGCTATTTGTGTAAGTCATTATGCGGCTTCTCAGGTGGCTCAGCGGTAAAGATCTGCCTGCCAGTGCAGGAGATGCAAGAGACTTGGGTTCCATCCCTGACTGGGAAAAATCCCCTGGAGAAGGAAATGGCAACCCACTCCAGTATTCTTGCCTGGCAAATCCCATGGATGGAGGAGCCTGGTGGGCTACAGTCCATGGGGTCGCGCAGAGTCGGATACGACTGAGCACACATAGCACAGTTACTCATGGTGCATGTGTAGTCTTTTTGTTCCCTACTTGTATTGGTAAATTTTTTTAAGCTCCTTTCAGTGTGGGTTCTTTCTTCTTGTTAATGTGTGTTTAGTCAAAAGTATATTCCTGATCTCTTCCTTCTAGGCTTTGTGTGTATTGTGTAACAGGGCAGATGCTTCCCTCCCCTCCATGCTTTGGAGGCCCTTTACCTTATAAACCCTATTTTCTTTTTTTTAAAGAAAGCACTTATTAGATTCTTCATACTATGTAATTATTCATAGAGATTTCTTATTTATTCTCTGTCTTCTTCCAGAATGAAGGCCCATGAGGACAGAGATAGTTGGCTTTTTTTTTTTTTTTGGCTTTTTTGTAATTACCCTGTTTGGATCATGCTTTTTGAATTTGATGTCTTTGAACAGTTTAGGAAATTGTCAGCCAGTATTTCTTCAGCTGTTGCTTCTCTCTCATTCTTTCCTTTCCTTCAAGGAATTTAATTACACATATGTTAAACCTTTCACTGTATTTTGTGTATCTCAAAGCCTCTTTTCTGTATTTCCGATTCTCTTCTGAGCTTTGGTTTGAAAGTTTCCTCCTGTCTTCTCGTTCTCTGTTCTGGTTTTTGCTGTGTCTAATGTGCTGTCTATTGTATTCTTAGTTTCAGGCAGTTTTGAGTTTTGTAGAATTTCTATTTGATTTTTAAATGGATTGCTCTGATGAAATTCATAGTCATCTACTTTCTTAAGCATATTAATTGTACTTATTTTAGAGAATGTGCCTGATAAGTATCTGTTGTCAGTTTCTGTCTTCTTGTGTGTAGTCATTTGGTCTTCTCGTCGTTGAATGCTGAATGTCACATAAGGAATGTTAAGACCATTTCCAAACTATGTGCAAGCTCCAAACCAAAATCAGTCTAAAAGCAGTTGCATTCAAAAAATGGTGGTAGAATAACTTGATATCTAAATGAAATAAAATGAACTTTGACCCATACCTTGTACCGGTCACAAAAATATTTCCACATGGATTGTAGACTTAAACATAAAATTTTAAACTATAAAATCTTTAGAAGATGGGAGAATATCTGTAATCTTGTGTGTAGGCAAATATTTCTTATCCAGGTCACAGATAATATTGACCTTTCAAGAAAAATTACACTTTA